GGAACGGGGAGTCCCTCGGGTGGTGCATGGGGAGTAGCTTCGCTTCTTTCTGCCTGCGCGGCGTGGAGGCTTAGGCCGGCGGGTGGAAGCGAAGGGAGGGGCCCGGCGGAGCCCCTGTGCGGTCGCCGGCTGCCTCCCGGCGGGACGCGCCTTCCCGCCAGGGAACCGGGTTCTCGCCGGCACTTCCTTAGGAATAGTCCCCGCCTCCGCAGCGTCCTCTTTCACTAACGAAACATAAATGAAGTTCAGTGCCCAGGTGACCTGAATTTCCTTCCCCATTCAGTGATTAAGTTTATTCATGCCGTGATCGGATTTTGGCATCTTTTTAAGCAATTATTGCTGACTTTTTTTTTTTTTTTTTTTTTTTCCTTCTTTGGGTCGTAGTTGCTGTAGTTAAAAGGGAATAATACCTGCATTACGCTGCTCTTAGAGTTAGCTAGGTGTTAGTGCAGTACTTTGAAACTCAACCCTACACAGTATATGGCACGTCAGCAGCAAATTGGTAAATATAATCACATCCTAACAAGCAGACTGACTGCCACTTGAGGAGAAATGTCAAATTTGGAACTTTGCTTTTTTAGTTAAGTAATTAAACAAGGGGGTGAAGAAGAAGTTGCTTTTGAACGGCTGTTTCTGTTTTCTCATATGGCTTGTTTATAGTGGCGTAAACTGAGACCTTAGTCCTGAGCAGATTCTTCACCCAGTGGTGCAGAAAGCTGCTGATTTCAGTGAGGATTGCTGGGGGCATGAAAGCCTTGTGGAGGAAAAAGTGAAAAATATTTATCAGTGTTTCGCAAACAGAAAACTTTAGTGTAATAAAGTTTATTAAAGTAAATAATGTTCTGAACTTGTAAGTAAATAGTTTAATGCAGGTCATTTTTGCTAAGACTCACTGGAATATAGGATGCTGTGATAGCTATTTTTCCGTGGTAACCAAGGACTAAGAGTGTCACTGTGATAGGAGTACTGAGATAATGATTATTAATGATTCGTCTTTGTTTTACTCTCTATGCTTCTGTTTTCAATTAACAAAGTTTATTCATACTAAATATATATGCTGAGTTTTCAGTATATGTGCATATAGGCATTGGTCTGTCTTGCATAAAGCATATATGGCCTTTCATTCCAAAGCGTAAGAACTTCACAGAAACTTTATATAGTCCTTTGCTGACACTGATGTTTTTCTAGGGCAAGGTGTCACTGGATGCATCATACTTTGATTAATAATAACAGCTGGTATAAAGGAAATTTTGTTCTTCATCCAAAGTAGAAGAACTTTTTAACTTGAATTGCAAAGATTGTAGGTTTTTCAGGTAGGCCAGATTATTTCCTTTTTCCAAAGAAGTATTAAGTCATGGATCAGGGAACCCTTGTTATTTTTAACCTTGATTTATCTACTATTACAGTAGTGTACGTATTACTGCATATGTAGTGAGTAAACTGAGGAATTTATTACTAGACAGATTGAATACAGTCCAAATTTCAGCTGTCAGTCATGTTTTATGGTTATGCCCATGCAGTACACAGGATTTGTCATCTTAATCACTTTTATGCCAAAAAATTAGCTCCGTTTCTGTTTTAATGTAGAGATCGTGTAATTTTTATTGCCCAGTCCTTTTACAGTCTTCACATTCCCTGTATAATAGGAACATGATTCACAGTCCGTGCTGGATTTGTTCTGGCAGCTAAGGCAGTTACTCTCCCGTAACCGTGGGAAGGACTTCATGTACTGCAGTTCAGTGTAAAAGGCATCATGAATCAGCCATCAGTTTTCTCGCTTTGCCACCCTACATTATTGCATTTCAGTGGTTCGCTATGCTATAAACTGATGAGTTGCCTCATCTCCTGTTTTTCCCACCTATGAGTGAAGACCTTTAGCAGGGGATAAAGTTGGGCAGTTGAGAAAGGTAGTCTCTTGATTGCAGCCACTAAGTCATGTGGGGATTAGGAATTAAGCCCTTTCTTCAAGGGGGATAGGTTAAAAGATCAGCTGAAGTTTACATGATGGTGGGGTCAGTTTTCACTCGCTATTAGTTAATTTCTAAAACACACGTAATGAGATGTTTTTATCGCCACAGCAGCCATGCACGGCAAGGAAGCTTTACAGCATGGAGAAGGCAATGCAGGCATTTTCCTGGGGTTCAGTTGCAAAGGAAAAAACTAGGAATTGAGTTGAGTGATTAGTGAGAAGAGCTTCTGCAAACAAGACTTCCTATAAAGAAGGAAAGAGGGAGTAAAACCATGATTCTTCAGCAGCTTCTATTGTGTGGAACTCTTGGGCTCATAATGATCACGGTTCATGAGCTGTCCTGCTGCTGGAGTTGTTTCCCCTTCATATTGTTTTCCATCTCCTCCTCCCTCTAACCCAAATTCTAAAGGAATAAGAGTGGAACTAGTGTTTTTGCTGTTAAAGCCATTGCATTTTTCAGTTCACTGGTTACAATGAAAGTATTTTTATTTGTGTTTTTTTAGGTGCTGCCTTTCATCTATCGTGCCATTGGTTCAAAGCATCTTCCTGCCAGTAACATCAGCTTTGTTCATCTTGATTCCCATCCAGACCTTCTTATTCCTGTGAATATGCCTGCAGACACTGTATTTGACAAAGAAGCTCTTTTTAAGTAAGTCCTGGGTACTGCATCAGAATACTTTAAGTCTGCTTCCTGCTGCCTTTGATTTACAGTGAATATTGGTATGACTCTGTAGGATGTGTGAAAAAAAGAGGTGTAAGTCAGCCTCAACGTGAATCTTCTGTCTTTTTATTTTTGCTGAAAACTTTATTTTTTTGGACGGAAGAAGTTATGTTTGTGTTTATTGAATGTGGTCAAATATTTAAGTCGCATATCAAGCAATTTAAGACTTATATATTTGCTTTGTTTAGTTTTTCAGTAGTATATCGTGTTATTAGGTCAATTAGTTCCTCTGAGTAAAAGGACAGCACCCTAAGTGGATGCTTTATGTCTGAAGAGCTGTGGTTTTAAAACAGCCTTTCTCTCTTCATACTGAAAAATTGCCTTTGAGATTGAAATAATATCTCCTATGTTGACATGGTGAATATGTGAAGTTGAACAAGATTTTCCTATTAAGATCATTAAGACCGATATTTTCCCCCAACTTCTTCGGTAGATAACAAGCCACAGAATGTTCTTTGCTGTTGTCTTTCTTTTCCTGTTTTAAAATAAGTATCGATTGCTTCAGTGTTATAGTGATTTACAGCAATGACAGGATGATGTAATTGGTGTGTAAGTAATTGTATCATGCTAGCCGTAGTCAATATTTTGTTTTCTTTGTTGGATCAATAAGAAGTTTTGTGGGCTATATCATACACATGAAAAAGAGAGTATTGATAATCAGGAAAGTTATTGTTCTGTAGGTGCTGATTGACTCACTTTAATTACTGAGATTATATTTAAAATCTACTTAGAGCAGCTTACAGTAAAATACTCCTTGAGGTCAGTTTGAAGTTATTTAGAACAGCATTGATGATGCTTCTTGTACTTTCCTCTGTGTGATGTATCAAGAGAAAAAGGACAACAAATCCATGTAGTTTATAATCAAGTTGCCATACTAAGAGTGAAGCTGATTGCATTCTATAAGCCTAACTTTTAAAATTCTACTGTAGACATTTTTGGTCTGTCTTATGAATAAAGATTTCCCTCTTTTTCTTTCTTTGATGATGTGAACCTTACACAGAGTACTAATTTCAGATGATTTGCATGGGGGCTTTCAAGATGTGGAATATGTTTGTTGTGTTCTTGACCATGTTTTACTTACAGGGAAAGTAGCAGTATTATCTCCAGCCTTTCTCCATTCATTACAGTGAATTAAGTATTGAGAACTGGATTATGCCTGCTGTTTATGCTGGCCATATTTCTCAAGTAGTATGGCTTCACCCACCCTGGGCTCAGCAGATCTCAGAAGGAAAACATCATTTTTTAATTGGGAAAGACTTATCAACAACTACAATCAGGTAAATTGTCTGCTGTCATACGCTGACAATATAAAGGCTATCTCTATAGCTTTTCAAGGGTGCTTTTTCTACAAAAATTTGAAAATTTAATTTGTATTTGTGAGTTCCTTATGACCTAATGTGACTGACTATTTGTGTGAGTGGGTGCAGTTAAAATTCTGCCTTAAATTCTTTTTTTTACAGGTAATTCTAGCTATTCACATTTCATTTCAGCTACCCAAGTTTTAAATTAGTTCTCTTCATTAAAGTCAAAATCTCAGAAAGCAGTAATTTTTAACAGAAAATCTGGGTAACAGAGGGCAGCAATTAGATCCTCCTTAGTCTTCCCTTATCAGGACAAAACCCAGTTCCCCCAGCTTCCCCATCATGTGCTCCGGCCCTCTGATCACCTTAGGAGCCCTTCTTCAGTTTGTTGTCATCTCTCTTGTCCTGGAGGCCCAAACCTGGGCAGAGTATGTCAAACGTGACCTCACTAGTGCTGAATAAGAGGAGAAATCTCTTCCCTTGCCTTGATGATTTTGTTTTTCTCATGTGCGGTTTTTTGGGGTTGGTTTGTTTGTTTGTTTGTTTCTGTTGTTTTTTTTAAGTTAATATACTCGTTAAGCACTGAGACAGGTACACAGGCAGATGGTGAATTCTCCATTCTTTGATAAAGTCAAAACTCAACTGGACGAGGTCCTGGGCAGCCTGAGCTAGCTTTGAAGTTAGTTCTGCTTCCATCAGATGATTGACGAGAGACTTCCAGGTGTTCCTTCCAATCTTAATCCTTCTGTGATTCAAGTTCCAGTCAGAGCCCCTCATCATTCTGTGGGATGCAGTCAATGACAATTTTGCAGTCACCATATTCACTGCATTGTGATTTTGTACAGCTTGAATGGACATTTACAAATCATGTCTCTTGCCAGCATATCAGAATAAATCTTTTGAAGCAAGTTTAACACAAGGCAGCAGAGAAATGCTTTGTTTTACCACCTAAAATAAAACACACAAGCTGTACAATTCTGAATCTGAGGCCTAACGTAAAGCTAAATAAGAAGACAAAAGCTGGTGCTTTCAGTTACATTTAACCATGAGAACTAGCACACATACAGAAATACTTAATGATGGCTGAATAGCTCTCCCACAGATCCTCTGGTCGGCTTAGCAACCTTGAAAACAACATTTCCAGCTGCGTTTTGAAGGTGGTCAAGTACGTTTTCTTCACGTTCCAGGCTTACAATAATAAATACAAACTTTCTAAAAGTTTTGTTGACAACGGGTGGATGGATAGACGTAGATACCTTAGTTAGTGTCCCACTAAAGGAATGGCTGTAGCATGAGCTCATGTTGAACCCTGGAGAATTTTTGAGGAGAGGCCCTGTGAACACCCCGTCAACAAGATGAAGTTGTGATCCAGGCTCTCAGCAGGCCTAGGATAATCCAGCCACAAGACACGGGAGAACTAAGCTTCAAATTTCTGCTGCTCATGAAATTATTTGGTTTTGTGGTTGATTGATGATGATAGCCTGTAATCAAATGAGGCCTTAACGCAAGTGAGCAGCAGATCACACTTCTTAAGCTTATTTTTTTATCTGAATTTATGATGCTTAAGGCTTAACGTACTGAAATATGGCTTGAAATTAATATTCTTTAAATTTTCACTGTCAGCGGAGTTCTTAGTGTTGCTGGGTTTTATTTGTTTGTTTGTTTTTAATTAAGTGGATACCGTTGATATATAGCTATTCATCCTCGAGTTACCTGCTCTCCCCCACTTAGAATAGGGAATCCCTATTGGTGGTAAAGAAAAGTTAAATGCTACCTATTGATTAATAATATTTTACTTTTACTAAATCAATATCCATGGGTTTCAGGGCACTTCTCAAGCACAACTAACAGAATTTTTCTTAAAAAGTAGGCAATCCAAGACAAAATATCCATAGCTTTGCAGTCTTATATGCCATAATATTGACAATATCTTATTAAATTCTGGATGTTGTCTTTAAAATGCAATTCAATGGCAAATTAACCTTAGTAGCACACAATGTATAATCTTTTTCTTATCCATTAAAAACCTTGTAGGGCTATCATAAAAAATACAGAGTGGATTTTAATATATTGATTCAGCAATAAAGAAGTAGGAAAAAACTTCAATTTAAAAAACTGTGGTTTAAAATAAATAATTTTGTGTATATCAAACATCTATTTATTCTTCTCAGGATCCCGTTAGTGTACATGCTTTTTCCCAAGCTCTTTGCAAAGATGTATATTAACTGTGAGTTATTGTCCATTGTAGGGTTACAGGTACAGATCATTACTTTTTAAGTGATGGTCTTTATGTTCC